GTTTAAAGTTTATTTAAATATTTAATCATTTTTAAATATAGATAAGAACATTACGAATTTTATGTCTAATATATTATTAATATTATAAGGTTATATAAATATCATGAATAATGATGAAAAGGGGCTCAGAATGAGAATTCAGAGAACCGAGTTTCAATTTCAGTCGAGTTTGCTGTATTCACTCACGGTAAAATACCCTATAAGAATCTATAGCCTCGGTTGACTATAATCGTATTTCAATAAGAACGGTTGGACTCCTAGCTATGTAGATAAGATTTTCATTTCTGCAATGCCGAGGTGCGTAGCACGACGCTTTCAAAGAGGCGGCCTGACATGACCGGAGTCAGGTCGGGGTTACTGTTTGACACGATATGGTGCAAAACCCGAAATCGGCGACGAGGTTAGTGCTTCACTAAAGACAACATCTAAAATGTATTATGTAACTATGACGATATTAGCTCCCGAAAAATAATTAATGTGGGGAGAAAAGCGCGAATTTGTAAACAGTCACTATTACTGCCGATAATGCAAGTCTCTCCAAACTGGATTGAGTTCTCTTGCTCACAGGCGTGTTTATGAAAAAATAAATACGCAAGAATTCGCCTTTCTTCCTCTTGGGTGTCGATATTCTAGTGGTTAGAATTTAAGTCTGTTTGTGAATGACAACACGCACACACACACACACACACACACACATATATATATATATATATTTGGATATTTTTTTATTATGCTGTTAATCGATCTAAGCTTTCAGCTCACACGAGCCATCATCAAAGTGGTTATATGGACATTACAAGTGATGTGTCCATCATCAAAGATGGCATCCTGTTATGTTTCCATAGAAGTTTTCTATGCGACGATAATGGTCATGGAACAACAGACGGAGGTCTTTAATTCGTAATCCAAATGTTGGACTGCTTTTGTCTTTATTTTCTCCCGAAACTAAAGCCACTATAGGAAGCTTAGAACTGTTAATGAATATACATAATAGACATTCGTTGTCTATAATATTTAATAATATATGTTTGAATAATGATCTGCTGGCCCAATACACACACACACACACACACACGCACACACACACACACAATATATATATATATATATATATATATATATATATATTAAAGAAAAACAGACCACTTTAAGGTACCATTATAATAACTTATTTCACCAGAGCCCTTTTAAAGGACGCCGGATCATGAGATAGCACTTTAAAATATTAGCTCTGGATTTACATTGAGCTCTCAGGATTTCATCCTCTTTAGGATTACCCATACGGATTACCAAGTTCTTCATAAGTTAAATATATATATATATATATATATATATATATATATATATATATATATATATATATATAATACATGGTATGCTGGTGCTAATAAAACAGTGCTCGACGTAATATAAAAATAATAAGAATGGTACCTCCAAATTCAAATCAGCCTGGATAGGGTTGGGCAGCACCGGGATATTTCGCTCAAGACACATCACTGTTGATACGGCTGCGGTATACGTGGTCTGTTAAAAAAATATTTGCACTGCTGCTATAAAAAGAAAACTACAACACATATCATTTCGGAAATCTATCTTCTTCGAAATAATCACCTTCTGAAGCTATGCAATTTATTCAGCGTTCTTTCCATTGGTAGAAGCATTCGTTGAACCCCTTTTTGGGGATAATGAGCAGCTGCCTCATCGCATTCACTTGACATGTACTCGACGTCTTTTAATCTTTTTTTTCCCTTTCAAGTGGGATTTAATATTTGGAAAGGGGGAAAAAGTTGCAAGGGGAATCTGAGGAATATGGCGGTTAATGAAACTGGGGAATTTAGTGCGGGTTCTACATCAATTTTCTCTGCCATGGTTACTGATGGAAACTGTAGTGTGGTGAGACGACCGCACGCTACACATCTTCCTTCCAAGCACCTCTATAAACACGAACGTTATAAGGTGGTATGCATGCGCGACAGGGTTCAAAGTCAATCTCGGCAACGCTGTTTAACTCTGCCTACTTTTGATCTGTTAACATAACAACAGTTCCGATATATATTGATCACATCTCATATGTGGTGCCCATACAGCCCAAAGAGACGTGAGACCGTGATCGTAAATAAATATCATACTTAAAGTATTATTTGGAACATCACATTGAAATATAACCTTGATCACATACCTTAAACATTCTGACATATGGTACAATTCTTATGGGTGGGAGCTGCCCAGTCTTCACTTTCAACTCTCGATGAAACAGTTTGCTGGACAATTGTCATCGAGCGGACAGGGGAATCGTCTCAGCCTTACTCCTATGGCATCCTTCTGGGAGTATCTTCTTACGAAAATTGAATTTGACAGACATTATAGTTCGTGACGCATGGTTGGACAATACAGGGCAAGTGTGGAAAGGGATTGTCAATGGATTTCCAACCAACCATAGGAAAGTCAAAGAATGATGATGATATGATGAGGATGAAGGAACTAGAAAATTTCACTGGAAACAAAGAAATGGGTACTTAACTTAATCATGATCAAATTCATTACTGACGTCAGTGTCGCTGAAGGAATGAAAGAAAACTTGACAAGATTCAGAACTTGAACCTTCCATTCTCCTTAAAAGCCCAAAGCTTTCGAACACTGATTGAAGTCCTAAAGCTTGGATCCGAAACTGGATGGAACATGTACACATCCACTTAGAAAAAGGAACATAGAAAATTTCATTGAAACACTGCAAATTATATATATATATATATATATATATATATATATTATTATTTATAAAAAAATTTATAACATGGTATATTTATAAAATTATTAAAAATATTATTTTGTTTTCAACACAGTTTGTCTTATCAAGTGATGATGTTGATGTCATCACTTGATAAGACACAGAGTGTTGAAACAAAATGGCTATTTTTGTAGTAATTTTATAACATACTTATGTTATAATTTTTTTATAAATAATAATTATATCTGCTCTACTTTGTATTGAGCACTCTTTTAAGAATAGTAATTGTTGGTTATTCCAATTATATATATATATATATATATATATATATATATATATATATATATATATATATATATATCGAGACTCAAGGTTGTATATTGGAAATCTGGGGACAGCAATAGAAGAACCGAACCGTGTGGGAAGAGATTGTCAATGGTAATCCGACCAACAATAAATTTCTTGATGTATGTAAATTTTAGAGTCCTCTCCTTGCAACGCAGACTACCAACTCAAACTATTTTCATAAGTAACTGCTTTATATGCATATTTACTCGTACTTGATTTAATCATGAACAACTTCATTACTGACGTCAGTGTAACTAAAGGAACAAGATTCGGGGCTTGAACCTTCCACCCTCCTTAAAAGCCCAAAGCTTTTGAACATTGATTGGCCCAGTCTTAATGGATGGATCCGAAACTGGATGGAACATATACGAATCTCCTTAGAAAAATCCAGAACATCGGTTGGAGATCCCATACAACGCTTAACACAATTTACGGAGAACTGAGACCAAATTCTCATAAGCTCAAACAAAAACGATTACAATTTTCCGGCTATTCCACCGAGCGGACAGAGAAATCATCTCATCTTTTCAACTATGGCATCCTTCTGGAAGTGTCTTCTCATGAAAATTGACTTTCCAAGACACCATAGCCCAGGACTCAGGGTTGGACATTGGGGATCTGGGGACAGCAATAAATGACCGAACAATGTGGAAAGGGATTATCAATGGAGTTCCGACCAACCATAGGGCGGTCGAAGCATGATGATGAGATTTCAAAAGCGTCTCCGAGTGCTTGACGAATTATTTTCCACTCTGTAACCACTTTCAGAGATGAGACGTCGCAAGCCGCTCACTACTTTTTCGCTATTTCTGTGGTGACTGTTTAGATGAATTTCTTCTTTTATGTACCATGTTTCTTTAGAACGAAGGTGATCATTGCCCTCGACGTCTTCCTCTCCCATGTAGCTCTTAATATATTTTTTGGCTAATTCTCTCAAATCCTGTTCTACTATCCATTTAATCAAGCCCATCATGTATATTACGCACTGCTTTCCACTGTCCCTCTTTCTGTCCTTTGAGTATCATATTTCCCAAGCGTTCTTTCTCATTACGCGTCGCAGAAATTTCAATTGCCTCTTCCTGATGACCTTGTTTAAATTCTTTTTCCAAAAGTCAAAGATTTATTAAGTGATATATGATCACCATTTTATCCTGAATTCAAAAATACAATTCATTGTGTTTGATTCGGTTTGATTTTTAAGCTATGCTTGGATACTTCACAACAAGTTGTACACAATAATAACACTTATTCAAAAGCTTGTGGAATCTACTTTTCACTGCTGATTGTGAGCTCCTGGTGTTTAGTATAACATATGATGTTGTATACGTACCTAAATACAGTGTACCTCCATACCCGCTAATACCCACGTACCTGAGGGGCAGGGCTTATCCCTCAGCTTAAAATGATTTTAATATACTGTGTTAAATGTTAACGACGAGCTGAGTGCTGATTTATTTTTTACTCTTTTCATCTTGACATTTGTAACCCTGCAAGAATGGATCTCAAGTGTTAGAATAATCCTGACAGGTCCTTTTATATCTGGAGTAATGTAGTTCTTCCTAGTCGTCAAGCAAAATCTATGACTTTATGAAGAAAGCATATCACGATTACTTACTAGAGGATCAGGATAAGTCATTCTCTCCTCACGTTTGCTGTAAAACATGTGTGGATAACTTGGGGGATTGGAGAAATGGTAAAAGGAAGAATATGCCATTTGCGATTCCAGTGATCTGGAGGAAAGGAAAAGATCCCATTCCGCTATTTTGGCATAATAAATCTCAAAGGAATTAAACGCAAAAACAAGCACCATGTCCAATACCCCGATGTTCCTACTGCCATAAGACCAATCCCTCATAGCCCAGACCTTCCTGTTCCTGAGCTAGATAGTAACATGGAATATGGTTATGATTCCGAACATAGCGACATGACTGTTGTAGCTGGGGATGACACATACATGCCAGAAGATGACGGCCAGCCAGTACCCTTGATACAAGCAGAACTCAATGATAACACGAGGCCTGGACCTTTCAAAGGAGTCTGCTCAGCTGCTGGGTTCACGTCTCAAAGAGAAACATATGTTAGCACTAGGAACAACGTTCTACTGGTATCGAGAACGTAGGAGAGAATTAAAACAATTTTTTCACGTTCCAGGATGAATCATAACTGGTTTATTGTAACAACATTGCTGGATTGATAAAATCACTGAGCTTAGAGTATGATGCTACAGGATGGAGACCTTTTATTAACTCATCCAGCAGAAAACTCAAAGCAGTCCTTCTACATAATGGCAATAGTTTTTCATTTATCTCTATTAGGCATTCAGTACAAATGAAAGAAATTCAGAACAGCATGGATCATTTGCTGTCTTCTGTTAACTACCGGGAGCACAAATGGTTGATCTGTGGAGATCTTAAGGTGGTTAGACTGGTCCTAGGGTTCCAAGGTGGGTACACAATGTACCCTTATTTTCTGTGTCTTTGTGACAGCAGAGCTGATGACCAACATTATGTCAAACAAGAGTGGCTGTTAAGACAAGGGTTAAAACCTGGCTCGCATAATGTTCAGTCTTACCCTCTCGTTGAACCGAACGAAACACCGCTTCCATCCTTACATATCAAGTTAGGATTAATGAAGAACGTTGGGAAAGCAATAGAGAGGGAAGGCAGCTGGGTTGCTTTCCCACAGGAGGAGGTTATACGGATAAGCAAGGCTAGTATACTTGACGGCTCTCAGATAAGAGAACCCATGAAAGACCTAATTCTTGACGAAGCTGAACTGTCCGCCTGGCAGTCACTGATGTCAGTAGTTACAAACTTCCTGGGAAACCTCCAGAGTGCAGAATACGTGAAGGAAATTGAAGAGCTAGTGAAGATTTTCCGCCAACTCGGGGCACGAATGTCAGTCACTGCACTTTTACTTGGATTTAAAAAAAAATGTGGATATTTGAGTGAAGAGCAGGATGAGCGTTTACACCAAGACATTCGCATTATGGTAGAGCGCTACCAAGGCTGGTGGTATGTGTTACACCGGCCTCTAACACGAGGGAATTACACCGGTTCTCACTATATATATAGTGTCAGTAGTACCTACCCGTAGCAGCATCGACAGTACTACAACTGCCTAACTGAGTAGTACCCGTTTCCTACCTTTGTATCTGTGATGTTAAATACACTTGTTCCTTAACCCAACTTGATTTTCTTATTTTACTATTGTGCCACGACACAACAGTATGTAATCTTAATCCCTGACTACTGCTGGTGCTTAAAACGGGATGCAATGACTGCCGAGCATAAGAGGAAGTCCCAAAAAGACCTTTCATCCATGAATAACTTCTTTTATGTATTTCTTCAGTTTTCTATGGCACAATGTGAGATTTCTGCGAATGTATCAGCCGTAATTTTAGAATTATTTGTTTAATTCAATAAGAAAATAAATAGCGTTATAATACTGTTCTATAAATTTCAGGTAAAATCTTGTATCTTAAACATTTCGTTTGATTAGAAAAAAGAGTATGATTTTTAAAGTCAGCGTAAAAACTACCTTAATATCAGTTATTATATATTCGACCTTGAAAACATCTTTACGGTTTTGTTTGCGTTTTCTTTAAAACCTCGTCTTTGCTCAAATGTTTGGTCCATGGTGTCATCAGCATCTTTCTATAGAACTATATTTATGTTGCTTCAGTTCTTTTAACTTGCAGGAGATTGTCCAGCAGATCATGTAACAGTTCAGTAATCTTTTTTGTTTGTAGCGAAGTTTTTCTGTTTCTTAATACTCCGCTTAGCTTTTTGAAAGCATTTTAGGCCATTCCAATACGTCTTCGGATATCAGTGTCGCATTTTACGTCCTCCATCAGAACACTTACCAGATATTTAAATTTCTGTAATTGTTTGATTTTGTTATCCCCGATTTGTAATTTGCATTTTGGGATCATCCTTTTGCTGTCAAATATGCATTCTGTTTTCTTGTAAATTATACTTAGTCCTTTCTTCTCGCTTTCCTTTGCTACTTTCTGTAGGAGTTCTTTTCCGTGTCTACTGTCAACACTGTGTCATCTGCATATCTCATGTTGTTAAGATTGTGGCCGCCAATAATGAATCCTGAACTACACTCCTTAGTAAGCCAGGTCTTAACCTTCACGGCTAAGACTCACCATGCTTCTGTAGCGTGCCACCCTCATTTCCTTCATGTACCTTTTGAGAGATGTAAGTTGTCACTTAAGCAGCTTCTACCCACCAATTTCTGCCTAGTGAAACCGACACCAAAGAGGCTGCTTTCCCGATCACTAAAGTCTAAACCTGTTCAAGTCTAGGGTTAAGCGTTAACTTCCGCACATATCCGTACCTCATACTCTGTAACACTCTATCTCGAGTGACACCCGGGCCTTGCACAGGGTGAACACCACTGTAAAACAAAACAAACAAAAGGAGTGAATAAATTAAGCCTTGTTCTATTAGTCAGTGCGTCCTTGTGGTTGTATAATAAAGTTGGAGAATTTGAGGTTAAAGGTAAGAAGAAAAAATATCCCATAATAAAACAGCCACATAGAATAATGTAAATATATCGTATTTCTGAAATATGACATATTTGACAAGGTCAGATTGCGACCACTATAGCCCACAGGAACGACTACTTTCGGCTATACCAGCGTGACAGCTTCTGTCGCAGCAGACGAATTTTCGTTGCTGCTCGTAATAAATGTATACGAGTCCTCGATTCCAAGAATCTCTGCTTTCTGAGAGAATGAGGCCCCGTATTGCATCTAAATTTTTGGCTCTCTTTGGAGGCTCTTAAAATTTAGTACAAACCGATCAATATATTTCCTCATAGAGAAAGGAAGACGGTTGCCATTTTAAGTTCTTTATTTGTAAAGAAAAATGTTAATAAAATAAAACAAAAACTAAGCTAAAATGACGTCGCTAACGTCGTCGTCTTCTTCTTCCTCTTCCTCTTCTTCTTCAAATTGGCTAAATCGCCAAGTCTTCTTAAATTACTGTATCATTTGGAATGAAATGATTGAAAAAAAGAGGAGTTGCAAAATATGAAAAAATACAACACAGGATAAATTCGGAAAGGCACCGTTAGTTGAAAGGTTAACGATAATTGATCTAATGCTTTCATATATGCTACTGGACGTTATCAGAATTCAGAATACCAATACAAATCTCTGGTGGGATATATTCCTTCGTTTGAATTCATTTAACGGCTGATATTCTGATAATAGAAATAGCATCAAAAAATGAAGAAACCTAGCGAACTGTAAAAAGTAATATGTTTCTTATTAAGAAAACATTTAATTTCAGCCACTATAATATACAAACAATATTGCCATTATTAATGAGAAATAGCCAACAATCTTATTTTTCTAATATATGTACCGTTTCACTTAAAGACGTGGATGATCATGACTCTCTACTATTTCCTATAATTTCACATCTGTCTAACTTCCTTTATTGGAGAATACCTGGCACATTGTGGCACCGTTTCCCATTTATCACATCTCAAAATGTGGGTTGTCTATGTACGCCTTTGTGTTGTTAATACTGTTCTCGCTTATATATATATATATATATATATATATATATATATATATATATTTCGTAAGAAGACACACCCAGAAGGATGCCATAGGAGTGAGGGTGAGACGATTTCCCTGTCCGCTCGATGACAATTGTCCAGCAAACTGTTTCATCAAGAGTTGCAAGTGAAGACTGGCCAGCTCCCGCCCATAAGAATTGTACCATATGTCAGAATGTTTAAGGTATGTGATCAAGGTTATATTTTAATGTGATATTCCAAATAATATTTTAAGCATGATATTTATTTACGATTACGGTCTCACGTTTCTTTGGGTTGTACGGGCACCACATATGAGATCTGATCTCTATCTATAAAAGGCAGGATGTGTGTATTTGTGTGTGTGTGTGTGTTTGTGTGTGTGTGACAAATGCACGGCCGCAATTTTTGACGGATTTGCACCAAAATTTACATGCACATGCTCCCAGTTAGCGGGAAGGCCAAGACCGACTTTGCATTTCCCAACTCTCATCGATAGTGGAAATAATCGATTTTTTCATGCTTCTACGACAGTTTTCATGTAGTTTGCGGCTATTTTGTACTGGCCAGAGTGAGAGCCTATAGCTAGCTGCTACGAATAGGCAGGAAGATTCTATTGGCCAGCGTGAGAGCCAACAGCTGACTGACACGAATGTTAACTAGCATGCTAGCATGCAAAAAAAATCGATAGCCGCATTCGTCACAAGTGGAAAAAATTTAAATCTGCATGGCACTTTACTCCAGTTGGCTCATTCACTTGCTTAAACTCAACGTTGATTCTGATTCCGCAGAACTGGGTTGGGTGTGAAAAAATATTTGTTGTTAACATTCTTTTTTCATTTGTTTTTTCCAGTTACGAGTCCTTTTTTAAAGCTGATCGTTTTGTGTTCATTTTGTTTAGTTCTTTTTCGTAACAGATTTAATGTTTAGTATAGAGCTTAGAAAAATTCGCAGTGTGAGATAGGCAAGAAGTAAGGCATGTAGCAGCAACATCAGCTCGGCAAAGGCACTCTTTTTTAAAGGCAAGGAAGGGCAAAAATATTTTAAGTCAAGTGATAGTGATTGCTGTATGAGTCGTACGATTTTTGAATCAAGCACGGGCAACGCCGGGCCATTAATTCGGCATTTAATCTTCTTCAAGTTAGTCCCCTTCTGTATCCCAACACTTTATCCATCGTCGTTTCTGTTCATGGAAGCATTCCTGGAACTCCTTTGCATAGATGGCACGCGGTTGCCTCGTCGTATTCTTTTAAAACTTGTGGACGTCTTGAAATTGTGTTCCTTACAAGTGCGATTTGAATTTCTTAAGAGTAACAATTCGCAAGATCTAGGGTATATGTTGGTTGTCGGACCTGAGGAATATTGTACTTCGTCAAAAACTGCTGCACTAACCCTGGCCACTGATGGTATACATGTGGTGTAATGAAACGACCCCTTTCCTACCAATCACAGCTAAATTAACGGAATTAAGCCAGAATGTTATAACTACGTGTATATTCGCGACAATGTTCAAAATCAATCCGTACCAAGTGGCTTCATTCTACTTTAGGTCTGTTACCAAAACAACACTCACAATATATTTTATATAGGAATTGCGCTATTAAATTAAGAGAAATCTTTTTCTATCTGGATTTTCAAATTAGACGAATTCGTCTCGCTTGGAATATTATGCTCAATAGAATCATCCCAGTTAACATCCGTGCATCTCTAACTTTCCATTCATGGCGGCTAACCACTCGATAGGTATGATAAACATGGCTGCCCCATCACTAAACGACTGTTGCCCGCTCATAGGCTCCGTCAAGCAGAAATAGCAAACACATACGATCTCGGGGTGATGTTTTTTCTTATACACACATACATGCATATATGCATAATTGCACACACGCACGCACGCACACACACACACACACACACACACACACACACACACACATATATATATATATATATATATATATATATATATATATATGTGTGTGTGTGTGTGTGTGTGCAATTTGAGACAGGTTCCTCTGGAGTGTACACGAAGGTCGGACTTTCTCCAACAAACCATACCTTTGCTCTTCATTTGCTTACGTCAGTGGAATGATGAATTGCTTCGTTGGTTGTTTGAGTAGATTTAGACAAATCATTCTTCGGCTTTCCTAGTTGTGGGGGTGGGGTACGTGTCGACATTTCTCTTTCTTGGAATTGCATCTTTATCTCCTTTCATCTTCCTTCTTCGTGGAGTGCATTTATTGTCTTTCTTTCTTCTAAGATTAACTTTTTTTTTTTCTTTCAAATTTCTGCTTTAAATTATATCTTCGGTTTTGTTTTCTCCACGTCAGTTTTATTCCATTATTTTCTCTGTCGTTTTTTCTTTCATTTTATCTTCGCTTCAAATGTGTTTTCTTTCTTTCTTTCTTTCTTTCTTTCTTTCTTTATTTCTTTCTTTCTTTCTTTTCTTTCACGTTCCATAGAATAATTGTCCATGGTTACGCGTATTTTTTTCAATAAAATTCTCAATATATATATATATATATATATATATATATATATATATATATATATATATATATATATATTTGGTCCTTGCGAAATGAGACAATCGTTATATTCATCTTCATATATTTATATTTGATTTTAAATTTTAAGTAAACACAATTTTATTTTCCTTCGTCCCATCCCTCTCCCCCACCCTTTCCCTTTTTTTTTTTTTTTTTTTCCCTTCCTATCCTGAATTGTCTGTGGTGTGTATATGTCACCAATGAAATGTATCTTTATGTATTAGACATCCGTCGACTTTCTTTCTCTCCTCTTTTAAATCCACCCCACCCACATCTCCAAAAATTCTCTCTGTCACTCATCCTCATACTTACACTTTCTCTAAATTCTGTTTTGATTTCCGGAGTTGTTTTTTCTGTTTTCATTTTGAATTTGTAGGTCTGATGAATTGGATCGTATTTACGATTCCAATGGAATAAATTATGACCATGGAATATTAGTGTTTAAGCTTTTTATTATATCCTTACTCAGTCCTGGACATTGAGTTCTACCTGGATCCTTCCTCTTGGAAAATTTTTTTCTGAAAATATACATGTATGGGAATTTTTAGATATATTTTTCATATGTATGTATATTTTCCACTAATATTATCTATATATATATATATATATATATATATATATATATATATATATATATATATATATATTGTTTAGTATTATTTGGGTTCTTTTTTATACATCTTTTTTTAATGCAAGACTCTTCGATAAAACAAAACGAGTGCTCCATCACTGGAGTGTTTATCAAAAAATAAATACGTTTAAATTCACCTTCAATGGCTTATGGGTAGATTCTCCGATTAATACCAAATCAGACAGGTTTCGATCCCGGCTTGAGGCAATCGGATGATTAACCACACTGGCGAGCTGGGAAACAGTGAAAGTTTTTTTTTTGTGGATGACAATATACATTGAAGTCAACACTCAGAGGCGACAGGCTGTTTCATGCTAGACGCAATCGTCAGGCCTCGAGTGTTGTATTTTTGTCAACTATTTATATATATGGGTCAGTGGTGCATTGTGGGTAATCCATTTTGTTGACTTCAATGTTCACTTTTATATTTATATTTACATACACTCTATCTCTGATATTGAGCACTTTATCCCATAAATATAGCACACTTTAAAACTATATTTCTTATTTATATATATATATATATATTATATATATATATATATATATATATATATATGCTTTCAAGAAAAACAAAGAAGCGAGATTAATAAGGCGCAAAGAAGAAGAATTATGATCACTTGCAAAAGGGATATAGTCAAGTGGTTATATCGTCCTGACTTCAAGAACAAACATAGGAGACCGAAGGTTGGCCATTTCTATTGATTAGGAAGAAATCCCAGCATTAATCCACAGGATTTGACCATATATTTGAGCAATAGATTGAATAAATTCACTCTTTCTCCCTCTTACATCCATGGGGTCAAATATATGCAAAATTCGTATAAATATTCATAATTTTGTTTTACATTTTGTTTTCTTCCTCTCCCTATTGTTTATTGAGGATGTTCTTTGTTTAGAAAGCTTTTCCTTCTCTTTATTATTTCTTTCTTTTCAAACCTTTATTCTTTTTTCCTTCATTTCTGTTTTATCTGTTAGTCTTGTAGATACAAGTATTTAGATCGGCATTTTGTGACCTGATCTCAAACAGCGACTCAAAGCTGTCGAAGCTGCTTGCGTAATTCGTTAATGAAATAAAAAAAAATCCAACTCTACTGTCCAAAATTGATATCTTGGCTTTGAGGATATCGATTGGTCTCTTGAAATAAAGCCCAGAAATTGACGACTATCATTTCTTTTTCTTGTATATGTCATATCACTTAGGCGATCATTACTCTCCCCAACTTCTCATCATTTGTAACTATAAGCAATGTTTATCGCTATACAATTTCTCTTACATTCTGTTCTGCCATCGATTTTCAAAAGCTATTTCTATCTGCCTCTATTTCCTTTAACATGTTCACCGCCAGAGGTCAATTATGAAGTCTGACGTCAAACAAAGACTTTATAAAAGCCAAGACAATAAAAATGTTTATAGGTTGATTTATAGCTTTAACTGAAGTCTTCACATTGTTTTCACACTAAACGATCCACTGTGAATATACTCATTGTTGGCGCCAGCAGATGAAAATGTATAAGAAAATGTTAAGCACTAGATAACTCATAGTCGGCGTCGTAATTTAAACTGCCAGCTATGCATTAGCTCGTTATTGTTACAAATTCTCTAAGTCTCGTTTCCTCATAACGAAAGTACATAAAGTACGTAAAGTACGTATTTACTCTGCTGACACAACTATTCACCAAAAAAGTTCAATTGATCCGACATAGTAAAATTGGAAACTGCTGTCGAAAAGGACCTCCGAATAGAAATCACGCCTGCAAAAAAGGAAATGCATAACACATGTAACACGAAGAGAAAATAACGACATGGTCAAATGTTAATATTTCGCACCATTTCAAATAAAGGTTTAGAAAGGAAAACCCCATCAATAATGGAAAGAGCGATAACAGCTACTGTACTTGAGAAATCTTTTTTTTTTTTTTAAAGTGTTTTAAGGGATATATTTTATAAATTTCACCCGGAAGCGGTAGTGCTTGTTCGGTTAATGAATGCCAAATGTTTCCTTGTAGGGAAATGAGAAACATTACCATTACCATTGCATGTCCCATCCATAGTATTCTCTACCTCAATCTGTAGAAACCCATTTCTTTTGCCTCTCGTCTTGTCTTATCTTCACCACAGATGTTCGTGTGTGTGTGTCTGTTTAAGAGAGAGAAAAGAGAGAGAGAGAGAGAGAGAGAGAGAGAGAGAGAGAGGGAAGCACACACACACACATATATATATATATATATATATATATATATATATATATATATATATATATGTTGTGGTAGGATCCACCTAATTTGCATAGTGGAGTACCGACCATATAAATATGGTTGGTACCAGGGAAGACGGGGAGGAATCAAGAGATTCAATCCAGAGACTCTGCCTGACTGCGACTAATTCAACACATTCTCCAGGAACGGTCTTCCCAGGAATATAAAAAAGACTATATGTAAATATTGTGTACACTTTCTTGTTTCAATCCATTTTGTTCTAAGTACATTTTGTGTTGTATTATTATTCCATGCATTAGTCAAGTTTCAACAATATATATATATATATATATATATATATATATATATATATATATACTGGGTGTAACAGCAAAATGGTCAAAATCGTGTAACCAGCAAAATTGGCCAACTTTTAGATTAAAATTTGAACCGTTGTATCTTAGAAATGATTAAAGATATCTTACTGGAATTATTCGAGTTTTTTCTAACACTATTAGACTCTACTTTAAATAATAAGAATGCATTTAGCTTTAAGTTGAAATGATGATGCTTTTTTCTGTTGTGACCTCCTGATCCAGTTTTCCTCTATACTGTTCCCTCTTTTTAAAACTTATTTACCGCCCTCTTGATCGTTCTTGAATGGAAATTGAAGATGGAAGCCACGGTATTAATTGTTGGTATCTTTACTGAATGATCTTTTTTCCTCTCACCATTGCTCCATTGGAAATATATAGTGGGTCTGACACAAAACGATTTTAACATGTTCTTTCTAGCTGAATATCTCGAAGGATTTTTTTCAGTGATTCTTATGACAAATGGTGTCAAGATGGATAAGCGTCTTATCTAAAAACCTGAGAAAAAAGTAACTCATTTAGTTTAGTAGGGTTTTAGATAATAAGCATTTTGTGGAATAAACAATTATTTTATGATAGGTAAATGATTTGGACAATTTGCTGTTACATCCGGTATATAAAGTTAGAGGTAAGTAAAAACCAATCAATTAAGAATTGAAAGGCAGACTGAACTTCAAGTCGAAGTCTATGGACATGGCTTTATATAGATCAATATAGTGAGTAAGTGTCGTAATAATATTTTCGGGAATTTCTTCAGCAATCATTTCTGGAAGGATGATTTCAAGAATAATTTCATGCAACTAGGTACTTATTTTGATGGTGAAGCTATGTACTGATGTCTTAATATTAAGTCCGATAGTAAAGCTGACAGTAGATCTAGAAAAGGACGTAAAATCTGTTGTTAACCGAGGCAAGAAATGGCTTGTAAATTTAGCGTCTCCAAAACGAAACCGCTATCTGTTTATCATCATAGAGAAATATTTTTGAGTTCCATCTGCATGGTTGATGCTAATCTCTATGAGAGCAATGTTTTTTTTTCACCTTGTAGATTTTATGTTTAATATTGACATGATGTGGAGCTAGGTTTACTGCCAAGAATCTGCCAAAAATCTTTCTCGTTATGATCCATCTTGAATATTTATAAATTTACCATTCGATCGTGCATTGAATACTGCTGTCATATCTGCTCTGTTATTCCGGCTATATATCTTGAAGTTCTCCAAATATACAATGAAGTTCCTGATTTGGCATCTCGAATTCAGTCATTTTTTTCCATCGCCGTAACGTGGCTTTCCTCTGTCTTTTCTACAAAAATTTTCACAAGAGTTGTTCTAATGAGCTCTACTCATTGGTCCCTCGACCAGATGAATTTAAGCACAGTACTAAATTGGCTTCATCGTTTTACTATTGAAATAGGTAGATCAAGCCGTAAGTTCAGTTCTAATAGTTTTTCTTCTCGTACTTCTCACCTGTTGAAATCCTTTCCGATGTTTTGCGTCCAAGCTACATAATCTTCAAAATTGTAAATACAACGTCAGTCGCCATTTTCTGTCTTCTTGAATCCTTTCACCTCAGTAATGATTTCTTGTTCTCATCCTTACCATTTTGCGTCTTACTGGCATTATCGCCTTTGCTTGGAATGAAATGATTAAAGAAAAGAGTTACTGCAAAATACTCCAAAATAAAGCATAGCATAAATTCCGAAAGGCTACTG